ACTAAAGAGCTGTTGCCCCCCTCCTCAAATGGTATGTCTGTTGTGTGTTTTAAATTATGCATTGTTATGTGTCGGTTTTTTTTTAAATTTTTTGTCTGTATCCCCCTTCCCTGGTTTGAGTTGTGAGCCGCCCTGAGTCCCCTTCGGGGGGAAAGGGCAGCATATAAATATAATAAACAAACAAACAAACGATTCACCCCAACCAAAGAATCTCTTAAGACCACACCCACCATTATTGATGGGAAGTATGGTACTACACTATAAACTGACAGCAAGCTGTGCTCCTTATTAGCACTGATGATGTTACCTAGTTTGGGTAATGAAACATCTGCAAGAAAACAAGCAAGCTTAGAGAGCACCACGGACTCTTTACAACCTAGGCTGTTTGCATAGGTGTTTTTGACCTATTGAGGCTATATAAAAATAGCTTATTGAGGCTATATAAAAATAAAGTTATACAACTCAAAAGGTTAAGCATATTGGGTTATTTCACAAAAGTAATAAAGCTGATTTATTGTTGGTAGTAGAGGAGGTTGTATGTGAGCTATTAGAAGTCAGAAAAATTGAATGCCCATTCCACTTTCAATTCAGATGCAAAATTATCAGTATAATAAAAATAATTGTTTCTCCAAAGTGCTTAGTTACTACGTACATACAAGGAGCTTGTAATTTATTTTCTTGCTTGTAAGATTATATACCGAGCACTCGGAACACCATTCTCCAAGTCCTCAATATGGCCTGCAGAACTTCTTTTCAAAACGTAGGACAGTTCCATGCAATCTAAGATGGTTCAAAGTTACCCTATTCTATGCAAAATGTGTAGACAAGCTTCAAACTTAGTTTTCTTGACACCTCTTGAATTTGCATAACCAACAGGAATTATGTTTCCTGCTGGGATTCTATAGTTGCTCAGATAGTTTGGAAACAGGTCCCTTTTTAAGGTGGCCAGGATCCCTTGTCTAATGTAGGAGTGAAATACTATGAGAGTCAAGATTTAAAACTTAGCTGCCAGGGTGAAAAATGTTGAGTTCCAGATTCTATTGAGCAGGCATCAAGCAGGGAACAAAGAATACTTTTGTGTTTCAGCGTGTTACTCCAGGCGTTCTTATTATCCTAACATCAACTGTTCTCTCTGGAGTGAAACAATTAGTATTTGTTCCTTCCAGGATTCGTCCTCTTTTCTTCCTATCTACCTAGTTTAGTATGAAGTAGGGAAAGCTCAAGTGGCTAATGATTAGTGATAATGAGTAGGTGCGGGAGGCAGGTATCTATCCCTAAACTTGGATTACTAGTATTGAAAAACCAGCCATGCAAATTCTCCCTCCCAAGAATTGCTGTTCATTCATGTGGAGGGGATGAATTATAAGTTAGAGCAGGGGTGTCAAACTCACGGCGTCGTCATATGGCATATCATAAGATTTTTTCCCCTTCTCTTAATTGGATGTGGGCATGGCCAGCACGTGACACATCTGGCCCGCGGGCTGCAAGTTTGACACCCCTGTAGTAGAGGGTGTCAGCCAGGGGTGGGTTTCTCGCCCCGTTCCAACGGGTTCGGTTGGAACAGAGCCAGCGGCGTCCTCGTGCACGCGCGCAGTGCACGCATGCGTACTAGCGCCTGTGCGATGCTCCAGCTGCTCCTGGAGGATNCTGGCAGATGGAACTCGGAGGAGGCCCAATCTATGCGATCTAATGGGTCGTGAGGAGGTAATTGGCAGGAGGCGGTCTCTCAAGTACCTAGACTTTCTGTTCCTTCCTCTGCTTCTTCCTAGAGATATGAGAAGGCCACAGACAGCGAGTTTTAACTCATGGGTTAAAGGTTCTGAAGATTTTCTAGATCAGCTTCCTCTCGAGCAGTAACTTTTGGAAGTGTGTTTTTCCAGCTTGTAGGATCACTTAGGTCCATGCTTAATGGAGAGCGTATTTTATTTCGGTTCCGGCTTCTCATCAGGCGATGGCTATAAGAAATATTAATGTAGCATGTGCAATGTCTGAGGTTCCTCATTGAATTCAGAGATATTTCTTTTCCAAATCTCTCACACAGACACACAGGTGTGTGTGTGTGTGTCTGTAACAGTGCCACTGCTTTAGGTTAACTTTGTCCAGTGGAGTGACAACTGCTAAAATCGAAATCACCAGTCATATTAACGCATTCATCCATCTGCTTTGCTCATCCGTTCACATTGGCCAATACTTTTAAGCAAGCAATAGTAGATACCTCTGAATTTCCTTCCTCTTTAACAGATATGTGGTTTATTACATTTTGTCTAACACCTCAGCTGCTTTTTTTTTTAAGGAACAAAAATGCTGGAATAAATAAATAACAGTTGGCCAACCAGGAAGCCCCCATCCATGCTAGAATAAATTAGCCTTCATCTCTCAGTGATCCCTTCTTGATTTAGACCAGGGGTCTGCAACCTTAAACACTCAAAAAGAGCCACAAAGGTCCTAACCGGAAGCCCCCCCCCAATTCAATTCTGAAGCTAACCGGAAGTCCGGTTCCCTCACCATAGAGTCTTCTCCTAGCATGGCGTCCTTTTTTTCTCTACCTGTCCTAACCGAAAGCCCGATCAATTGCTGAACCGACCGGCGACAGGGAGCCGCAGCAGAGGGATGAAAGAGCCACATGCGGCTCCAGAATGGGCAGGTTGCTGACCCCTGATTTAGATCATCTAGAGCAAAAAGGACTTTAGCAGCTGATCTCCAGCAGATTAACAGACTTGTTTTCATCTGCATTCTATCTGGAACTGGTAGGATACCCAAGTAACACATTCATTCCCAGAGGCAAAGAGCTTTCCCTGTGGAAAGCTTCCCCAGTTATGGGTCGTCTATTTTGTAGTGCTGTGGTTTACTTACATTAAAAGTACTCCGGATGTATTCAGTCATTATATTGACATATGACTGCACGGCCCTTGTTGATTCATAGTTCTTTCAGGACTAAGGAGCAATTTCTTTGCGTTGCACTTGGAGTTTAACCTCTGCTTCCCTTTTAAGCCCTCGGAAAGAAGACATAACAAAGTGCTGAGCTAGAAGTAAGAGAAAATTTTAAAGTCAAGAGTTTTCTAAAAAAAACAAAAAGCAACTATTGCTTTTTGCATAATATATTTTTTTAATAAAATCCTATATACATTTGATAAATAAAAAAAAAGAGTTCGGATTCTGCTTTTTGTCCGGTTACTCAAAGATGATATACCTTCTTTATTCATATTCAGCTTCATTGTTCCATTGATTGAATTGTTCCATTGATTGATACTGTACGGTAGATGTATTTGTCTGAGCCGTCCTACTTTGGAAGGATCAGACAGATACATTTCGTGGCACGACAAAACCGCGGTCCACTAAAGCGTGCCCGATTAAAGCGCGTCGCTGACATCAGCCGCGCAACAACAGCGACCGTGGAGAAAAAAGGGCGCTTTAAAAAGCGCTTTGAAAGCAAGCCGATTCACGTTAAGGTAAGGGTTAGGGTTAGGTTAAGGATTAGGGTTAGGTTTAGGGTTAGGTTAAGCATTAGGGTTAGGTTTAGGGTAAGGGTTAGGGTTAGCTTTAGGGTTAGGTTAAGGGTTATGGTTAGCTTTAGGGTTAGGTTAAGGGTTATGGTNTTGTGAGCCGCCCTGAGTCCCCTTCGGGGGGAAAGGGCGACATATAAATATAATAAACAAACAAACAAACAAAACAATTACACATTATACCTCTCTCACATGTTTTCTTCTTTATATTCTGGTTTTCTAGTACCTACTGATTGTCATGAGATGGAAATTAACAAGGTACAATTTAACTTTTTAAACTTTTAAGCCATGCTTTACAAATCCACTTAAAATACTGTGTAGAAGTTTAAGTTTGCTAATTCGAGGGTCATACAAAATTTAGTTAATAAAAACTAAGATCATGCACAACACTAAATTGTGATTTTAAAAATATTACTGAGCAATTTCTCTCCCTCTCTGCCAAATAATAAAGGGTATTAATTTTATAAAATAGGAAAGGGTATGCATTTAATATATTTCACATGGCTGCTTCAATCTCTTTATACTTCAAGTAAGAAAGAATGCAGTAATAGGCCTGTTCCGGCTGCTGCTACTGCCAGTTTGCTCAAGGAGGCGCATTGCGCGAGCACGCACTTGATGAGCTCTCTGCACGCATGCCCAGTGTTTTAAAAAACCAAGATGGCAGTGCCTACAGCGCCAATAGAATCGGTTCAGGGACATGGCAGGCTGAGTTACTACCTACTTGTCCGAACTGGTCCGAACGGGTAGGAACCCACCTCTGCTCTTAAGTTATTATATGAAAATGTTTGGTGAGGTAATTATTTCATGCCACATAACAAAATTCAACGGAGTTCCTAGACATTTTGAACACCTCCATTTCTACTTATGTAAGCACTGTTATAAAACAGTTCCTGGCCTTCCAAACCAGGGTGGATAAAAATCTATGGCTTTAAAAAAAAATCAAAATAATTGGATTTTTTAAAATTTTTATTAAATTTATTTTAATAAAAAGCTTTTGGAGTAAAGATTTATCTAAAGATAGTTTTCTATTTGAGATATATTGATAATTTAGTTTACTCAGTATGAAATGGAGCTTAGTTACGTAGCATGAGGCGGTATATTCTGCCATATTTACATCTTTGGTAAACTCAATTCAATGAATCCAAGCTCTGCAAGCTGAGATAACATGCACTGCATTGATGCATTCACACAATTTCACAGTAAGATTTTATGAGATAAATTATAAAACAAAGTTCAGGAATATCCCTTTATCCTATTGTTTTGCAAATCTATGTACACTACAAAACTGTACGATTGTTTGAAGAGAAATGCATCTGTACCACCAGGCTCTAAATGCGAGGAGGAAAGGCAAGCAGTAAAAATGAAAGTGAAACTTTCTATGCAGCTTATAAATATATTAAAGAGCACCTGTCATTTCAGTTCCATCATGACAGCGCCTGTTAGGGGGCAGCCACTCACCTGCTGCCTGCCACGTCCCTCACCTTATTGTGTCATTGCCACATCACCAGCCGTCCCAATAAAGTGAATGGGACTGTTGGTGAGCCAACAGTGTGTCAGAGGAACCGATGTGGGACAGAGATGACAGTTGCTCTTTAAAAATTATGATTTAAATCAAGCCTTTTTACTAGTGACTTAAATCATGATTTAAATCATTAAATCGTTCCAAAAGTGCCTGTACTCTGAACACTCCCTTCAATCCAGAGGTGTCAGAATGCACAATCATAGAAAGGAAAAGTCCCTGCACAAGTGATTAGTACCTCCTCTTTTTGATATATATATTTGAAAATGCTGTATGGAGAAGATTTTCAAATACTCTGTGTCTTTCATAAGTTTACTTACTCCATGGCAGAAAGATCCATGTCCACTTCCTCTCCATTCATCAATGGGATTTTTTTCTTCTTATTGCTGCATAAAAACCAGCAAGAGATGCATAGTAAAGTCAGATTTTCTTTGGTTAAAAAAAAGAATAAATCATGGTTAAACAAAGGATAGAGGAGCTTATGATTAGATTGTTCATCAAGCTGGGCATTCTGACATATTTTTGCTGATTCTTATTTCTGTGGCAATTATTTTTTTCTCCCGCCTACTTGATTGTATAGTTGCTATATATATTTTTTGCAATAGTTTTAATTGGCTGCAAATAGTTCATAATGTCTGGATACCCAGAATACTGTTTTATAACCTTTTGATCTTTAAAAGGGAGACAGAAATATGTATTAGTGACCAACACCTTCTTACAACTAAAATTCTTTGAGTTATTAAGTGTGGAAGAGTGGATTGTATTTATCCTGCTGACCCAGATCAAACTGGAGACATCAATGCTGTGTTAACCGTTTATGGCAAAATATTAATATAAATATTTTAATAATGTTAATATAAATAATATTAACATTTGTGTTTCCCACGTGAAGCGTTTTCATATTGCCATGTTTATACTGGACAATGTAGCATCGCCACGGTTTTGTGACTTTTGATAAATAATAACAAAAATTATTAAAAACAATTTATGGTAGTCACTTCAGGTAGGCATTTTATAAGGAAGCTCCATAGGTGGTAAAAGCCCTACCGTCTGCTCTTTGAATGACAGGGTATATCATGCTTGAGGCTGTTTTCTTCTATTTGAAGTGTGTGGTTGAAAGATCCGTCAAGCTCCTGGACTGTCACTTTAAGAGGGCCCTTGAAAAAGATGCATGGTTATCAAGTACCAGCAGTCATAATGATCTATGAAAGCCTCAGTTGCATTTCCACTGATACCCTCCTCACCTTCACAGAGGAGGCTGAAGAAACAGACTCGGACATTGTCACTTAGGTGGGCTTTAAAGGTAAGCAGAAGTTTGAACTTGAACATGTTTACTGCTGAATCCCATATTTTATATGACAGCTATTTCTTGCTGAAAAAAGCTTTATTATTTTACCCACGAACTCCATTATTTTACATATTAAAAAGCAGCCTCATATTTTTACATTCAAAACATACACGACATAGCCAGAAGTTAAATGAATTCAACATTTACGCCTACGTTTTACTTCAGTATTGAGCAAAAATTTAGCTGAAGGGAACTGAAATAGTTATATTTCAAATTTTATTTGCAGCCAAAAGGTCTAAAAGCAAATTACAAATAAATCTAAACTTGGCGTTAGATAAAACACCTAAATAAGTAAAATCCAAATGAGGAAAAAATATGCAAAAAATTTACTTGCAGATAAAAATCCCAAGACTGCAGTGCCCAGATTTTTAACTATGGCTATAAAATTGAGAGTTTTAGTAACAAATCAATGAGTTGTGATTTTATTTATTGACTATTTTACTTGTAAAAACGTTTTATCTAATACCAAGTTTAGATTATATTTGTAACTTGCCTTTGGGCCCCTAGGCCATAAATAAAATTGGAAGCATTATATAAAACCTGGATAAAATCCAATGTAACACATGCAGCATTCTTCTCATGCAAAGAAACATTCAATTGTCTCTTTTTTTCCCTTGTTCCCTAAACCAGGGGTCACCCAACTCCAGAACTGTACACCAGCACTGGTTTGCCAGCCACCAGGAACTAGGCCATGTGAGTGAAGCCCCATCTACGCATGCATGAGATCTAGGCAGCACACGAAACCACGCCCCCCCCACCCCTGTGTATGGAAAAAATGCCCTCCACAGAACCAGTCCCTGGTGCTGAAAAGATTGGGGGCCACTGTAGTAAGCAATGTGTCCTCAGCTTTCACCCATTCATTCAGCGATTGTTCAAAATTATGATGGCACTAAAAAAACTGGACACACGACTAGTCCTCAAGGTTCTGGCCATCGCAGCAAACCACAGACATCTGACTACCATTTGTAATCTTCCCTGCCAGCTTTCCACAAGCAAAGTCAATGGGGAAGCCAGCAGAGAAGGTCTCATGTCACCGTGGCACGACAAAACCGCGCTCAACTAAAGCGCGCCCGATTAAACCGCGTCGCTGACGTCATCAGCAGGGC